CATACTCATTTGGGAAAATACTGCCAATTTGTTTCTCTTTTTTTACTGCATTTTAAATCTACATATAGTTATGTTTTCATATTTTTCAAACTATTATACCTGCATTTATGTAATATTTTCTCAAAACTGAAATATTTATTTACTTCTAAGCCTATAATCTTTCTACTTTATTATCTGTCCAAGAACAAAAAATATGTACCAATTATAACTTGAAAAGTAATACTTAACCAATGTTAAACACACACTTAATAATATATGTTTAAAGTTCTTATCATATTGACTGAAACAGTAACCTATTTATAACTTACAGAAGGTTCATCTAAGGCTTTATAAAGCTTCTGGGTGTGTTGCTTTACAGCTTCAACAGCGAGTAGTTGAGCAGCAATGGCATCTCTGGCTAATCTCTCCAGAGACTCCTTCCTGCTCACAATTCGCTCTTCTAGTGCTGCACAAAACAATCGTAAAGTAACTAAGTTTATTTATACACAAATGTGACTATGTAAACTTTGTACTTAGAATACCAACAACAAACATTGAAAAGGAAATAAAATAATTTAGAAATAAAAACAGAAAATCTTGCATTACTTTTCTTAATCATTACAGTAAATGTGTTAGTTTTACTTTATTATGCTTCTACCAGTGGGTCATTAGTAAGTTACAGACTTATAAAGCTAAAACTTGGAGTCTGATTTGAAATAAGAGAAAAACAACAAGTAGAAAACTTTATTATTATTATTAGATAAAAAAGTTGATTATTTACTAAACCATAAAAAAATGTCCTAAAATCCAATGAAAAGCCAAACAGTTAATATACACCTACAAAAAATACATCTACAGAGCAAATATAATGTTATTAATTTCTTAATAAGCACAAAAAAATACTAAAAATATCAATCTCCATTTGGAATGTGTTTTTTTAAATCTTTCAGAATGTATATTCCAACACAAGTGAGCATAAAATACATAACTCATTAGTTCATCACAACTTTAATAGTTGTAGTTATTTTTTATATTTCATCTACATTTACATAGAATTGTTCATATAGAAGATTTCCAGTATAACATACCTTAAACATGAAGCAATATTAATGAAGTCACTTGTTTATATACTAAGTTTGACTGATACGAAAAAATGTATAATTTACCTAAACTTTTCAAATAAAGCCTAAAAAATTTATTTTTTTGCAAGCTCTGACATTTTGTTTGTGTAATAGTTCTCCCATTGTATGTGTTAATGTTACCACGAAAAATGAGCTGAGTTCCATGTGTTGGCTTAAACCATAATATACATGTAAGTAATGTTCACAATTTTATGGTTACATGTTCTAAAAACATTTATTTTAGTAAATTACTTTATTCTCAGCTGGTCTAACATAGAAGTTGGTTTGTATTGTATGAAGAAAAAAATAATAATTGAAATGTATAAAAATACACACATGTTAAATTAGTCAATTTCAATTGAAATGTATAAAAATACACACATGCTAAATTAGTCAATTTCAACTGAAATGTATAAAAATACACACATGCTACATTAGTCAGTTACAATTGAAATGTATAAAAATACACATGCTACATTAGTCAGTTACAATTGAAATGTATAAAAATACACATGCAACATTAGTCAGTTACAATTGAAATGTATAAAAATACACATGCAACATTAGTCAGTTACAATTGAAATGTATAAAAACACACATGCTACATTAGTCAGTTACAATTGAAATGTATAAAAATACACATGCAACATTAGTCAGTTACAATTGAAATGTATAAAAATACACATGCAACATTAGTCAGTTACAATTGAAATGTATAAAAATACACATGCAACATTAGTCAGTTACAATTGAAATGTATAAAAATACACATGCTACATTAGTCAGTTTCTTTGCAGCGACCAATTTCTCACCTCTGTTTAAAGACACTGTAACTTCTGCTTCTTGTAAAACCTTCTCTTGAGCAGCTTTCTTATCATCTGTTCTCTTCTTAGCAGACAATTCTTTGTCATGTTAAAATAATGAATTACAGTATATAATGAGTCAAATGTTTAAGCAGCTTTATCTTGTCTGTCTTCTTTAGTAAATATAAGTAACGTTTGACAGCACATTGTATACCTTTCAGTAAAAACCATTAAATATTTTGAAAACAGACAACACAGAGTAAAAATTAATAAAGTTTTTTTTTGAATTAATAAAATCATTTCAAATGAATAACAAGAGCATAGGAAAATAACTTTTAAAAACCTACAAAGTTCATACACATTTTTTTCAGTTTAATGTTCATTTCTGGATATGAGCTAAAAATATCCAACACTGGACAGGATTTTGAACCAAATTCATTATCTTTGACTAACCATTATGATTATTTTATGGAACTCCTATTAATTCTCTCACTATAGGCTTGGTTCTAGAGACCAACCTAATAACCATTTTGTGCCTGTTTGGTTTTCAAACTATAACTTTTAATACAGTAAGTGTATTTCACAAAATTTTGCAGATTATCAGTGAACATTACAAGGCTTTAGTACACAAAATATCAAATTTGTTTATTAAGTTTTAAGATTTTTTAAGTAATGATTTGCTCATGAATTTTTTTTTCTAATTTGATTTTAAGATTAAAAATACTTTTATGCATCAGAAAATTGTCCAATTTCACATATGAAATCTTTATAGCCTCCAGATAATTATCAAACGTTTTTTTAAAGAGAAAACGTTAAATTTTATCTGTTATTTTCACCATTGTATCTCTGTACGGGTTTGAGCGATATAACTGACCTCATATCCAACCTAAAAAATTAGGAAATATATATAAATTATAACAAGAAACCACAAATGTTTAGTTTAAATAGTTACCATATCCAATAGTATAAAACTACCCTTTACAAAGTGACCTGTCTTCAGTTTGTTCTACTTCTAGTGAACCAATATTTTGTAAAATAAAGTCACATTTTGGATATAATAAGTTACATATGCATATATATATTATTAACACTTACAAATAACTTCTAAAATTGGAGCTATTTTTCTTGAAACATAGAACAATAAATAAAGAAATATAGAAAGCAATGATTTTTTTCTACTTACAAACTTTGTACTTATTTGCCCGCTTGCCATAATTGGCTAAACTTTGTCAAATTTCGCACATAAAGGATGTAAAACAACATTTTTTCAGGTTTTATATATATTCATTTTGAAATAACCTAATATTTTAAATTACTCCATCAATATTGCAGAATTCCACTGTAATTTATCAGGCTTACTAACAGATAGAAGTAGGTGTATATAAGCAAGTATTCCCAAAAATGGAAAGAGGTGGGCAGGGCCACTGTGTTTGATTCACTATATGTAGTGATATCTCAGTAAACAGAAAAGATAGGAAGTTCCTATTTTATATTCTAGCTTGTTAATATCGGTAATTTGAGTTCCTAATTCATACAAAGCTATGGACTTTGTATTTTGACATCCCACACATCTAATTTGAAACATTGTTGCATTCAACACACCATGAGACACACAAATATTGATGTTTAGGTGTGTTTTTTAATGTTTACTTTTAAATTAAGAAATTAAATAATGTATATTATTAAAATTTGAATTATAATCTACACTTGTTGACATAAATTCCTAAAATAGTAGTTCAATAAAATTTTCAAATGTAAATCTACAAACATGATGACATGCCTTTGACCCTTGACCATAGGAAGATCTATAGCAAGAAGGTTAAAAAGGGGTTTCAATATGTGCAATACCTTGAGTTTGAGCTTTAGAGACTGGAATTTCTTCTAGTTTTTCATCAGCTGCTGGCTCTTTCATCACAACAGGCTTTGATGTTGTTTCTTCTTTCTGATGCAATGATAACATTTAAAGATTTTAGTAATAGGAGCAAGTACAAAGTACTCTATGATCACTCTGATTCTAAAAAACTTGTAGTACAAATATACCAGTATACAAACACTCAGCTAACACTATGATTTCAACAAACTTGTAGTGTAAATATATCAGTATATAAACACTCAACTAACACTATGATTTCAACAACCTTGTAGTGTAAATATATCAGTATACAAACACTCAGCCATTACTCTTGATTTCAACACACTTGTGGTACAAATGTACTGGTACAGATATGTAGCAACCACTATGATTTCAACAAACTTGTAGTCCAAATGTACTAGTACAAATATGTAGCAACCACTATGATTTCAACAAACTTGTGATTCAAATGTACTAGTACAAATATGTAGCAACCAATATGGTTTCTACAAACTTGTGATTCAAATGTACTAGTACAAATATGTAGCAACCACTATGATTTCAACAAATTTGTAGTTCAAATGTACTAGTACAAATATGTAGCAACCACTATGATTTCAACAAACTTGTAGTTCAAATGTACTAGTACAAATATGTAGCAACCTCTATGATTTCAACAAACTTGTGATTCAAATGTACTAGTACAAATATGTAGCAACCTCTATGATTTCAACAAACTTGTGATTCAAACGTACCAGTACAAATATGTAGCAACCACTACGATTTCAACAAACTTGTGATTCAAATGTACTAGTATAAATATGTAGTAACCACTATGATTTCAACAAACTTGTAGTTCAAATGTACTAGTACAAATATGTAGCAACCACTATGACTTCAACAAACTTGTGATTCAAACGTACTAGTATAAATATGTAGTAACCACTATGATTTCAACAAACTTGTAGTTCAAATGTACTAGTATAAATATGTAGCAACCACTATGATTTCAACAAACTTGTGATTCAAACTTACTAGTACAAATATGCTGCAACCACTATGATTTCAACAAACTTGTAGTTCAAATGTACTAGTATAAATATGTAGCAACCTCTATGATTTCATCAAACTTGTGATTCAAACTTACTAGTACAAATATGTAGCAACAACTATGATTTACACAGAATATGTTAATCTGATGGTACCTGATAAACCACAGAAAAAAATTGTGTCCAAGCAAAATTCACAAATGCATGGATAACAATATCAGAAGTTCTATTACTAAGTGTGTGTGTGTATTTACATACAATTAAACAATAAAATTAAATAGTCAGATTTCACCTATTAATTACAAGAAGAAACTGGCCTGCTTTGATTATTTGGTCTTCTTTATGCTTGCTGAATGTCTGATTTTAGTTACAAAATGGTAATTAATTGGCCATAGAACATATAAGATGCTCTTGATGGTGTATTTTAGTTTATACAAACTGTTTTATAAAGTATTTAACTCCTTATGATTGGTTAATAACAACAATTGATTCATTTCTAAATTGTAGATGTTCTAAGCTCTTACTTTGCATCAGAAAGGTTTAAATAAGTTTGTAGTTATTTATAATACTTATATCATTTTACATTACTGTAGTATACTTATGTACTTGCCCTACAAGCTGTATTGCATAATTATCTTCTTAAAGAAAAAATCTAGCATTACTTTATATAAGCAATTTCTAAAATTATAAAAAAAACTATTATGTAGCTTGCCTGCATTAATATTTTAAAAAATCAAAAGGACATTTTTTGAATATTTATTGACTTCTAACTTCACTTTCCATCTCATGTCTGATCTCATACACATTTGTCCAACATTTAGAAGTTTCAGATTAGATTAGTAACACTTTCCACTGAATAGAAAAGGTTAATTTGACAAGCTCAAACAAATGAATCACATCATTAAATATTAGACATCTTTTTTCTTTTCACAGGAACTTAGTTTGTGTTTTTCTGAAAATAATTTATTGGAAATACAAAAGCTACATCATTACAGATCATGAATGTTAACCATATTAAACTCTGAGAACTATCCAAGTTATAATGACAAAAGAACACAATATCGTTTATAGCAATTAGTGAAAAACCACAGTAAATGTGAGACTGAAGAGGATGAACGAATGTGTCAAAACTAGTTTCTCTAATATCAGACTTCTGACAGTTTGTTCCGTTTACTGTGTTTTCACCGTGAAATGATCAATTATTTTATAAATTTTCATCTTTACCTTTACACTGTCTCTTTCAAGTTTCTTTGTCATCAGGCTCTTTTCTTTCACTTCTTTAACTGATTTTTCTTGTTCACTGTAATTAAAACAAAAATATGCTCCAACAAAAATAGCTTTATTTTTTTTTACAACTAAATTGCTAACAAAAGTACTAATCTGTGCTAATCTATAAATATAATTACATAATATACTCTTCACAAGACATATATTTAAAATCTCCAGCTGAATGACACTCAATATTGAACAGACAACTTTTTTAATATGAAAGACTAAGTTATAAACTACCGTATTTTTCTGTGTATAAGACACACTTTTTTACCCCAAAATTTGATGTCAAAATCTGCTTGCGTCCTATACACCGAAGGTATGAATAATATATATGTATAAATATGTGTATAATATATACAATATATAAGTGTATGATATATATAATATATATGTGTATAATATATATCTATATATGTGTAAATATATTTAAATAGGCATGCAAGTTTAGTTCAATTGAATGTGTTATCTATAACAATAGTAGTTTGTTTTTGTTTTTTTTTAAAAATAACTATTTATAATGCTTCCTAAATAATAAACAAATAAATTACAGTGAAAGCAATAAAGGTTTTGTAGGTCTTGAACCAAACTAAATAGCAGTAAACCTTTTTTTGATTTATGGTATTTTCTTATTTTGATGTTTTGAGTTCTTTTGTGTTTAGAACAATATATACTCATTTTTAAAGTACCAAATTGAATTTTTGTTCTATAAAAATCTTTCAAATGCAACTGTTGCTTTTTTTCCCCCAAACTTTGTCTTCAAAATAAGGGTGCGTCTTATATTTTTAAAGTACCAAATTGAATTTTTGTTCTATAAAAATCTTTCAAATGCAACTGTTGCTTTTTTTTCCCCCAAACTTTGTCTTCAAAATAAGGGTGCGTCTTATATTTCGAAAAACACAGTATATTACCTTATTATTAGCAATAAAAAAACAAATCCAGATGATCCTTACTTGAAATCTAAGGTCAGATGTTTAAGAAAATTAAGGAAAATATATCTGGTTACTTTAATACTTCTACTAAAAACAGGGCATTTTTTTTATGAAATTAGGAATAACTATTTCAAACATGGAAAGATAATAAGGACCTGGTATTTTTATTGATCAGATTTGAAGGAATATTCAGAACCTGAAGCCTTCATCATTCAAAAATGGAAAAATAATTAAATCTCACAATATTTTTCATTACAAGATGAAAAATAACTTTGATGTCTGAATAAAGGAACTTTAAACTTTCATATTTAAGAATTTGTATCTTAGCTTTTAGATGAAAATACACAATCAGAACCTAGGCCTTCAGACTTCAGAGAAGAAAATAATAATTAGAAAGATAAGACCTTCAGCCCTTAGAGACAAAAAAGACAATTAGAACTCGAGCTGGGTGATTTAATCAGTTACCTATAAGAAGGTATTACATCCATTAGTGTCTCATAAAATAATCAAGTAATGTCATGAAAATAACAACTACTCAAAATCAGTGTTTTTGATTATTCCAACAAACGAATAATTGAAATTACAATTCAATCAAAAACATTAAAAAGAATTGGCTACTTAAAATTAGGGTTTCTGATTATTTACTGTTTTCAGTTATTCCAACTATCCAAGTAATTGAAATATTGCCATTATTTCTGTTAGTTGTTAAGCACAAAGCTACATAATGAGGGGAGGGTGGGTGCCTTGTGATTTGAGGGTCTTGAGTCGATTCCCATTGCCACTAAACTTGCTCTCCTTGTCTTTATTATTACAAAGTTATGAAGGCTATCTACCTCTGTCACTAACTTTGAGCTGCTGACTAAAAAGAAAGCAACTGGTTAGTAGCACCCATCACCAACTCTCTGGCTACTTAAGTATTAAATAAAGTGTAAGTTTACTGTTTTTCTACATTGTATCATGTTCTCATTTATAATTGTGTAATTGTTTTATTTAATTTTATATAAGCTGGTGCATATCTAGAGAAGGAGTACATAGGGTCTGAACCCCCCCCCCTTCATTTCTTTCAGGAATTAATTACTATATTCCTTAATATTTTATAAGTAAGCATGGATCTAGAGGAGAGGGTTTAGTGGGGGGCATCCTCTCCACCCATTTTTTGCAGAAATTATTGATTATTTAATACTGTATAAGCAAGCAAAGATCTTGATGGTCAGGACACCTTACCTATTTTTTTTTTTTCAGGAATTAATAACTATTATTTAATGTTGCATAAACAGGTGTGGTTTTAGGGGAATAGTCCAGGGAAGGCAAACATTTCACCCATTTCTTTAAAGAAATTTTTAACAATATTATTTAATTTTGTATAAGTATGTACATATTCAGAGGATCCAAACCCTCCCTCCATTTATTCAGAAGTTAACAAAACAGTCAGACATCCTTACACTACCATATAGTATCAAAACGAAAAACAATATATCATTGTTTTTATTTGATTGGGCTATTAATTACCATAAAAGGTATTTTGAGGATTTCTGAAATCAACAAAGCTGGAGTATACAGAAACCCAGCCAAGGTCTCAGTTAGTAACTGATTATTTTTAAGCTAATACAATGATATAAACACTAATTAATTGCTGCCATGGTAAATTCTCTTGCCTTGGATTTTTCCAGTCACTCTAAAAATGTGTCTATATGTTAGAGGTTTTTCCCATCAAAGTTAATATTGTTTAAGACACCTACAACTCTTGCAAAATAGGCTTGTTTGAGAATTGATTTTTCATTGTTCAGAAATTAGAATTCTCACATGAAAAATGTTTTTGTATTTTTAATGTATAAAATAAGTGAAAATGCAAGTGACATGACTAAACAAGTAACAAATTAGTAAAAAAATGGAAAATGGGCAAGTTTACCAATGTTATAAAATTTTTTTCTAAACAAGATTATGATTATTTAGAACTATTTAAATTCTAAAATTCAAAATGTTTAAGTGTTTATTTTCATATCAATAAAATTACTAGAAATAAAGGTATAAGCTTTAAAATCACTGAATTATGACTTGATGGAGCTAATCATTTAGAGAATATATTATTATTATTTTAACTTTGACTGATTTAGGTTACTGTAGAACTATATGGTCAACATTAATTATTCCAGAAACCTATACTATTATAGTGGAAGTTTCTTCTTTCATGTAAACAATACTGAATATTTGGTTACAGTGTTATACAACTAACTATGAAAAAGTTAAGATGTAGACCAACATTCTACAAATGAAACACTACTGCAGCTAGTGCGAGGAAGTTGAACGTTATATTATCTGAATAGACTTCCTAGAGTTATTCATTCTCTAATGGTTTTCAAACTTTGCAAGATAAAGTTATAGCTATCAAAAGTTTCATTTTACAAAATAAACTGTTTTTCCTGTTTTCATGTTGTTTGATTTGCATATGAAAATTGTAAAGGTGCTTAAAGTAATGCATTATGACAGAGAAATAGCAAATAGCCTCTAATGAACTATCACTTCGAAGTTTGGCAGAAGATGTCAGCAATAGAGAAAAGTGGGGAGGAAGTGTGAGATAAGGTAAGTACCTATCAGAAATACATTCTCAGTATATGAAAATTATAACTTCCAATATGGCATTTACCTCCTCTCACAAGATTAGCTAGAATCCCACATTGAGGAGGAGAAGAGACCGGTTCAAGGGACCAATAGAAGTACCCCCCTGAAAGCAACCGAAGGATCCCCCTGAAAATGAGAGACACTGATCCGAAGATCAGAAGAGAGGAACTGCACCACTTCTGAGCCAGGTATACTCTTCGCCCAACTATGGAATGTGTAAGATATAAGGGCAGAAAATGAGAGGAGCACATCCAAGTGGAAGAGAATGTGGTAGGAAAGTGATACTAACCAGAGAAAGATATTGTAACTCAATGCCATAAGATTAAAGTGGGTAAATGAGGATGCTCCCCTGGGTGTGAAGTGGTTGAGTGCGGCAGACTCTACTCAATAAGTCAACTACATCCAAAACCTCCTAGTGGGGTCACGACATCCACACGAGGGTAAGATGAGGATCATACCATCTTCATCTCATACCCAAGATCTGGGGATTAAGACCCACACTGATTCCTGGGTATGACACGAGGATTAGCTCTGAGCTATCAACCTGGAAAATTGACATCCGGTATCGAAAGGATGTCTATCACATGGAATCAACCCTCCCAACCATGAAACAAGCCAGGATCATCCAAATGGCAATAACATCCCCATAAGAAGAGAGGATGAGGGATAGCCAAGGACAGAACCAGAACAATCTGATGTACCAATGCTGTGACCCACAACATAGATGAAGAAAATTGAGGGAGGAAGATAGACAATCTGAACCTGTGTGAGGACTTATGTTGATTGGTTCATTCTAATCCAAAACCTACTCACAGGGTACTGACATCCATGCAAGGGTAGCATGAGGGCTCCCAATCAAAGGGGTGAACTGCATTCTGACATCTCACTCCATTGTATTTGTTATTGCAAATAGGAGGATATCACATCATCTACACCCACAGAACACCACCACCCTACTCTGCAACTGAATGGTTATTGTGTGAAACTAATTCAGCAGGATGACTCCATGATCAACCATCCCAGCTACTTGGAACTGGACAGTGGCAAGGACTTCAATACTCCACTCGAAGAAATCAGGGTGACAGTACAGTGGAGAGTCCAGAGGAACGTCATCACCAGAGACAGTGCAATGGGTGACCACGAAACCATATTTTGGAAAGCAGACCATACCGAGTTATTCACTCTAGGCATGGTAGGGATGAGCAGCAATCCCCTTCAGCTTTACTCATGCAGTGGTACGGTCTGGAAATGAAGCCAAATATTGCAAGGTTATTCACCATCAAGTGATCTTGTGGAGCACCTCATCTCCATGGTGAGTGTGCAAAGCCATGGAAGATAAGCATGAGTCAAGATGGCTGTACAGTGCAAATTTAAAGTTTCTGAATACCTGGTCAGGCATCACTCACAACAGAGCAGGATCCATGTAATAAAAAGTAGATAAAGGCCTCTGTATGGAGAAAAACTTACCAGTTAGAATCGCACCGAAGTCTGAAGAATGGCCACAGGTGGTAGACAAAACCCCAACGAAGAGGAAACCACAATATAATAAAGATAGTGGGAGATGAATGTACTTGGAGTGGTCTACATTCCAGATTGCAGAACTTCCTCCATTGGAAGATGAAGATGAGAAACAAGGGAAAAAGTGAGGGGTCAGATCTGATGGGAGGACACCTGGAACAAAGTCTGGGAGGAAGAAAGTAGGGAAGAATAGGCCAATCAAATCATGAGCATGGTAAAAACACTGGAAGTAAAAACCATATGATATTGGGAAGAACGAAAGGTATGGGATAAGGCCGCCCAATATATGGAAAGCAAGGACCCATGGTCGAAGAGCCAGGTTAGAAATTCTGCCACATGAGCTTGTCAGTGTGAAACCCTCTGGTAGTAGACCAACTGCAGACTACCTTCCACTTGCATTGGTACACCTCCATGGATAATGGACTAATGGAACTAAGTAACAAGGAAGCGACTTTACGTGTGAAACCTGACAAACTCGCTAATAACCGGACAAAAGCCAAGCGTGAAGATGCAGAACATGAAGGTTAGGATGTAGGACATGTGATCGAGGTTGACGAAGAAGGAATGGAGAAGGTGGAAGAGGGACAGGGAGGTAGACGAACAGTCATTGTAACCTTGGAAACGAAGGCTGAGCTGGCCAATAGGGAGCAATCAGTAGGACTCGACAAGAGAAATTCCTTGATGAAGTAATAGAATGGGTGGATACACATAAAAATACTAGTGTGATCAATTCTTGCTGAAAACATAGACTGCCAGAGCCTGTGGATGAGGTACAGGCAACCAAAAAGAGAGGTAACTTGGTGTTGAGGCCCACAGCAAAGACATCCATGTGGATAGAACCTCACTGATGGCAAAGATCCCTAAAAATGAGGGGATCTAATGCTCACTTCATAAGATATATCCGAAAACCATCCGTGACCAGACTGAAAGCACCCGGCACATGACATGCAATAAGGCAAATGCGATATGCGTGGGCCAAGTATAATAGATCCTAAGTCCAAAAACATAGGTCTCCGGACCAGGTGCCCCCTTGGTAGTAGATACTGTATATGCCACCACCGTAGAATTGTCCGAGTGAACCATCACCAGACAATGTCAGAAGAGAAGATGAAAGTGATTCATCACCTGATGTATGGCTAGAAGTTCAAGAACACTGATATACAAAGCACTTTCATCTGCAGGCCATCAGCCTGAAGCTTCCTGGTGATTGACCCATGCCCCATCCCTGAAGGGATGAGTCTGTGAAAAGATGTAGATCCGGATGCTGGGGAGGAAGTGGCATGCCCGCCAATGTATGGGCTTTGTCCAGCCACCAACGCAGTTCATCTTGCATGGAAGGAGGAAGGGAAATGGGGTGAAAAGAGGATCCCGAGCAAGGTTCCATCATTCATAAGGCCTGAGAAAAAAAACGCTGGTAGCTAGTGTAACCCTTGAAGTGGTAATGTTAACTTCATTGCACAGAAAAGGTTCACCAAGTTCATGTGCAAAAATAAAGCAACTAGGAGTAACTGATAAATATAGGAATTGTATTGAATGAAAGCAATTTAAGTAAAAAAATAACCACTTTCTGAGGAAAACATGAAGCACTAATCACACAAAAGAGCACGTCTGAACTCATACACTGCCAAACAAGAAGTGATGGTTTGGTGGAGGAGTGTAGAGGGAGTCACGTGAGCATATCATGCTCCTATTGGTTAGGAGGTGAGGTATGATGATTTACATGAGAGACATGTTGGAATATAATAATTAAAATAGGGGGAGCGGAAGGTTTATGGTCTACATAAAGAAAAAGTTTGCATAAAGAGGGCAGCACTGAATGAGAATAGCTAATTTTGTGACAGGAGGTAAGTACCCTATCAGAATCAACATTTTGTCTTTATACATAAAAAACACTTATATAAATCTCAATATTCAGCCTCTAGAGACATAAAAATAATAAAAAATTTGTACATAACTTCAGCCATAAAAGAAAAAAAAATAGAAAGCTAATCATTCAATACTTCAGAGGCAAAGGTAAGATAATTGAAAACTTGAACCTCGCTTCAGCCTTTATAGAGACAAAAAAACAACCAAAAAACTTGTACATTCACTCTTCAGAGACAAAAAGAAAGAAATTAGAAACCTGGACCTTAATTAGCTTTAGAGATAAAAAAATATGGTTAGAAACTTGAACCTTTAACATCCAGAGACAAAAAGAGAAGTAGAAACTTGATCTCTCAGTCTTTAGAGATTGAAAGGACCTACAATCTCAAACCTGAATACTCTTAAAGCTGAATGAATAATGAGCTATAAACTTATGTCAAAGCACACACATACAAACACTAACAAATGAAAGCAACATAACTCTGTTATGCAGTTAATTATTTTCATTAAAAATATATTATCTTTATATTACAATTTTAATTTACTTGTAACTTTGTTACCTATTGCAAGCTTTTCACACTTTCACTCATACAAAATAACTAGCTTTTGAAAAATATTCTATTCTTTAAAAAAATACATATAATTACCTGTAAGGAGGTGTCTTCCAGTCAGGTATGAATTTGAAGACTTCTTCAGCATAAGGCAAATTTTGTTCTAATGTAACTTGAAACTTAGGGTCATACTTGGCATAAGCAGCTGCTCCACCTGCAGCCACAGCACTACCTCCTAACAAAGTCAACAGTAATTTTGTGCCTCCACTACTGCAAAATAATAATAATACAATAAAATATTAATAGTTTATGTTTCCATGAAAGTAAAATGCAAGAACTACAACAAAGAGTAGTAATAATCACACAATATCTTATTATTATTTCTCCAAAGCTGGAAATCTTAGTTTATTACCTCCACCAACATAGGTAGATGGAGGTTTTGTTTTCACCTCTGTGTGTGTGTGTTTGTCAGCAAAATTTCTCCCACACAGCTAAACTGATTTGGACAAAAGTTTTATACATTTGAACTATTACCTAGCTTAGAAGCGACTAGTTTTTGGAGGGTAAAGATCAAAGGTCAATGTCACAGCATGTCACAAAAATCTGATAAAACAACAAAAAACTATGTTAACATGGTGACCGATTTTTCACACTATTTTTGCTCTATAACTCAGTCAAAAATGATTGGATCTCGATTAAAGTTGACAGACATATGTACAATAGTATTCCTCATTGTCCTGCCAAAAATTGTCAATGTCCATTCATAATGATGAACATATGGACACATTTTTGCATTTTTTGAGATTCGAATATGTTCAACACTGTGTGGCAGAGATATGCTCTCTACTGAGTGCCCCTGTAGTTTATCTAAGTGTTCAAATCATTTTAATCTCAAAGAACCACAATTACTGGACAATAACAACTGTACACTACAGAGTACTATGGTTTCTTAATAACTATTCTGTTTGTTATTAATGATCTCAAACACTAATCTGCTGAGAAACAAAATTTTAAAATAAGGAATGGCTTGATACGGATGAGATGAAAAAAGAATTTATAACATACACTATACTACACACAAATTTTAATTAAACAGCAAATCACTGCAAATTTACAGTAATGGTTGAGACAACAATGTTTAAACATAAGCTCTAAAATCTCAGGGGAGATAAAAAAAAAGCATTACATAAAAACTACATACCATTTCCTAAGAAAGAGATATAAAAGGATATTTGTTAACTTGAGGTTTATCTTTATTTTCATCATTAAAACTGCCATTTCTTTTAACTGTTATACTAAATCTAAAGTCTCCAACTATGTTAGTGACAGAGCTGGGCAAGTTAATCGATTACCTAAAAGCAGTGATATCCTTGATTAGTATCCCATAAATTAACTGATTGTTACCATTTTTGATCATTTCCAACAGTCGATTAATCAAAATCATGAATAAACCAATTGTCATAAAAATAAGCAACTAATTGAAATAAGAGTTTTTGATTATTCTGAATATCCAAGTAACTAAAATATTGCCATTATGTTTGTTATTCAGCACAAAGCTAGATAATGGACAGGTAGCGGGATGCTTTACAATTTCAAGGTTTCAATTTTGATTCTTATTGTCACTAAATTTACTTGTCCTGTCTTTATTATTGCAAAATTACTAAGGCAATTTGCCACTGTCACTAATTTTGAATAGCTGTCTAGAGGGAAAGCAACTGGTTGGTAGCACCCACTCCGGCTACTTAAGTATTAAATAAAATGTAAATTTACTGATTTTTTAACAGTGTTATATTTTTAAGTTATCATTGCATGATTGTATTATTTAATATTGAACAATCAAGAACAGGTCTGGAGAATGGGATCAAGATGTCCAGGCCCCCTTCCATTTTTGTTCAAAAAATTAATAACTATATTATTTAATGTTGTATAAGTTGGCATGGATTTAGAGTAGGTGTCAAAATCTTTCCCCAACCTTTCCACCTGTTTTTTTCACACTATAATAATTGTATTATTTAATGTTGTAAAAGAAGGCAAAGATATAGAATTTAATAAAAAATTACCCATATTAGATGTCAATGTTTTTATTTAATTGTAAAAGCTTTTCAGTTTGTTTGTTCTGAATTTTGTGCAAAGCTACATGAGGGCTATCTGTGCTAGCCATCCCTAATTTAGCAGTGTAAGACTATAGGGAAAGCAGCTAGTCATCACCACCCACCGTCAACTCTTGGGCTATTCCTTTACCAATGAATAATGGATTGATCATCACATTATAATACCCCCACAGCTGAAAAGGTGAGCATGTTTGGTGGGACAGGGATTCAAACCCGCAGATAGCGAGTCAAGCTCCCTTGCCAGGTCATAGCTTTACAGTCCATCTGAAGTAAACACAGCTGGAGTCTACAGCAATCTGATTACAGCCCCAGCTAGTAGCTGATTATTTCCAAACCAATACAACAATATGAATGTCATTTAATCATTGTCATAGCAAATTTTCATGCCTTAGCTTTTTCCAGACACTACTAACGTGCGTGCACTCTAGACTTTAGAAATTCATTTTTATCAAAGTTAGTATTATTTAGGATATTGCTGACATCCAAAATAAGCACAAATTCAAGTACAATGACAGAAATATCTTTAAAAAATGTGAAAACAGGAATCTATAGGAATTTATATATTTTTTCTGAATATAATTATAACTATTTAATTTAAATTACAAATTTGGAAATGCTTATCTTTAATGTTTTGTTTTCATATCAATCACATTAATACAAATAAACATACAAGATTTGAAATCATTGGATAACAAACTAATTGAGCTACTCAATAATTTTATAGACTTTCTAATTGATTTTATTATTAAAGGTACACGTTGTGTGCTGTTATATGTAAAAAAAACTACAAAGTAATATAAATTTATCACCCCTGTTTTGAGTAACAGGTTCTCAAAATATTGTTGCGTCAGCTAGTCACATGACTACAGTGACGCAACGTTTCTAGAATTATCAT